TAAAGATGTGTCCGTTTTTTTTCAAGTGATAAAGCTTTTATCGAACCAAGTATTCGGACTAAGTGTTGTTTTAAGTATTTTAAAAAGCAATGTGATGAATAATAATCCATATTACTCGGACAATAAATAATCAGCATGTATCTATGGATCGTCTTTAAGGACAGGCAGGCGAGGATCCTTCTCTGTACATGTTTTTCTCATATTAAATGCGAATAGAAAAACCAACTTTTTTGTTGCGGCTTCACGCATTGTTTTCAAACAAACACATTTTTTCCTTAGCAAAGGGTTTGATATTGAGGTCATCTATATTTGTTCAGGTGTCATTTCCACCAATAAAATGCTTCCCTTTAATCCTAACTCACCTTGCTTTTTTTTATTTTATTTCAGCTTAACTGTTTTCTGATTAAATACGAAACTGCGATCCAAAGTTATTTTACATTATTTTTTTGTCGTGCACCCTACGTTAGTTTGTAGAGAAATTTGCATTCTCACAGATTTGGCTGGAGTTCAATGCAAATTGAATGTCATTTACAGACATTTGTAAAAGTGCAATTTGCATTGTTAAAAATTCAGTGTTTTAAGACACTGTTTATCATTCAAAGTGTCATTGAAGTTCAAGTGTGAAATTCTTCCGTATTTTTGTTCAGGAAGCTAAAAAATAATTTCATCGTGTAATCGGTTTGAACTTCGTTACATAACGTGACCGCCTGACCGTATTGCACTGAAAAAGAGAAGAAAAAAATAAGATGGAGAAAGAAAAATGAAACAAAAAAATGTTCAAGTTTGTAATAAAACTTATTGTTTTCCTCTTTAGATTTATTATTTTGCTCTTCACAGTGTATACATATGTTTCCCCAACGATAAAAGTAATAAAACATTCTTTGGTTTCTTTTTATTCGACATACTCAACAAATATTATACAAAGTTTACTTTGAAATTTTCCAATGGCTTTCAAGTGGCCACAATAGAATTGAACGCGAATTTATTGCTTTTCGAAAACTATTTGTCCCAAGGCAAAATAAACTCGACAACAAACTCAACGTCATGCCATTCAGTTAGTACACAAAGCAAAAGTCTGCCATTGGCACACAAAATGCAATGGAATTTCACACTTTAACGTTGGCTATTGAATTTTCAAAGCAATAAATATATTCATACATCATTTGACTTGGTCGACAACTAAGTCGGCTTCCTTTTAAAGATTTCAATCAATTTAGGTATCTATTTTAAGCCATTATGGATATACTTTAATAAAGAACGGCTCATGGAAGTTTTCAAACATATAATGTGGGTGGAGGAAGTAAATCATTTAATCAATATCAATTGTTTGCACGAACAGTTTGAAACAAAGACGTTCAACGTTATTAAATCCTTTCTTCTTTTAACTCTGTTTCTCTCTCTCTCTCTCTCTCTCTCTCTCTCTATTTTATTTTACGTCACAAATCAATATTTAAAATTGAAATGCTTTCCATTTTGGATTTATTTCGAGAAAATCATCATGGTACGGGGTCAATCAATATTGACTTTTTGGGTGATTGCTGGAGTCACTTGTACATTTTCCACTACAAACTCAAATAAAGGAAACCCAGAAAAGAACATCAAAATGGATATGCGACATGATTATTCTTTGTCTACCTTCATTATACCTATTTCACGAATATTTATTTCAATTCAATTATACGTACATTTGGCAGAGAACAGTTGTTGTTCATCTAAAAATATAAACATTGAAATTCCATCATCAGCCATTTAAAATTGACATTTGTTGGAAAACAATACAACAATTTTATCACGCTCTATTTCAAATCAATTGATTTAAATAGTCTTTGTTTGAAATTTCAAGTAAATTGAATGGAAGAGAGTGCGCAAGCGAATGAAAGAAATGTATGGATAATACGGCTACGTATGTGATTCATATCGAATGTTCTACTAATTTGAATATGCATTGTATCGCATAACATACGCCTGAAATTGCCATATGCTTCGAGTCCAATTTATTGGCGTGTTTCAACCTCTCAGAAACCTCTTACGCAAACAATATCGCATTTCATTTTGAAATTGAATTGCAATGGATTGCTTATGAGTTGCAGTTTATAATCAAAATCTACATTAACATTACCTCCGGTTGCAATATTAGTTCAAGTATTTGAGCACAACCACATGCAATCACCCAATTTCTCAAAAATGACGCCCTCATATTCAGTATATGCAGAATTCGCAATTAGTTTGATCTACTTCGTACAAACCAAAATCGATTTAGTATGAAACCACCATAACATAACCAAATCATGTAGCAACAGGTGAAATACGAACGTCTGATTTATTGCAACCGTCTCGATCTTTGCGTTGTTACATTGATGAATCAAAACAATGTGAATGAATTATTTACACTTCAGAATATCATGGCGAATCAATGTGGGGAAATGCTTTGATTTTTTTTTCAGTCCATCATTATTCATTGTTGTGTGGCATCCCTCAAGGTACTACTCACTGAACTTCAACTGACGGTATGCACAATGGTTAACTGAAGAAAAAAACACTAGAAGCATATAGCGTTTCCAGACATTGTGGCGAATTGATACAGTGAATCAATACAAAATAAAGCAGAAAAATAAGAATACCTTCAAACCATTGCGTCGGGCTCCACTTACACTTATTCAACACCAGCTCCGATAATTTATTATCTGAAATTTTTGAATAAACAACACAAAAACCGGCGCTGTATATTGCCACTCGAAGCAAAAAATCAATTTATTGTAAGCTTACCATGTTTCGACAGTAAATTTGTTTGTATGTGTTTGAATTTGCATGTCCTTCGAACGGCTGAAGTATTAGAAGCTGAGTATATGACTTTTGCCAGGTTACACAAGTGCTCAAACATCAACAGACTCACTTAGTCTACGAAGCAAACCAGTTGAAAAGTTTTCTGCGAAACAAATTAAATTGAATTGTTTACACAGAAATTTGTTGGCCTTCCCTTCTCCTTCCCAAAAAAACTATCCTAAATTGGCAAAAATACAATTTAAATGATGACCATGTTTTCCGCCTATGATCCGACAAAAAATAAATCCTCATCGACTTTCAACGACAAATTAAATTGGCAATATCGTAAGGTTTTTTTTTTCGTTTCACTGTGAAGGGTACATCATCTCATAAAAAGGATCATGATCCAATATGTTTGTTATTGTATTTCAATCGATGAAATCATATACAAAAAAAAACTTTACTTGTTGTTCATCCGCTTTTTAATTTCATTTGACATGACGCATGCTCCATCAAAATCACTGGTTAAAAAAACATGTTCACAAAAAAAAATTCGCTCTATCAGTTGACACACAACAACAAAAACCAAACTAATAATTGTATCAAAAAGCGGAAAAAAACTTTTGCCATTGGAAACTTTTTGATTCAACAACTGACCCAACATATGTGTGCTCTGCTCTTTTGATACATGATTCTGTCAATGTGTGCATACTTTTTTTATTCTGCTGCATTCTATCGAATCGACAAGAGCTTCCCAATCAATACCATTCAAAACAAAATATTATCTTGTTGTGAATGGAAATTGAACGAAGATGATACAAAAATACCGTAAAATTTTTGTTGAAACCGGTACATTTTATTTCTATGTAAATTTTTGCGTAAATAATTTACAATGTCTTCCAAGAAAATACGACACTGTGCGATGCAAAATATATAATCGGATTTTAATGGCAAACCATTGCGGTGCGACGATGCCAGAGAAATCGGAATGTGCTTCGAACCACAAACATATTTCAATTATCTACGTGAACGAACTGAGAATATGTTTGCTTAAGCAACGCATTTAGCTGCATGAACAAAACAAACGGCATTCGATTTGTGTACAACATTGGCCAACGTGCACGCACACACAACAAACCGAACATATCTTGACTGAAACATGCCGGGACAAGAGAGACAGAGACCAATAAACTCATATCGAATAATTTATTTATTCAATCAATGGATATTTGCAGTGCTTTACCATACACACAACACACATACAAAAGAGTGGAGGCTCTGATATGTCTCCGCTCTGCTATGTGCTATACATACATCCGAAAATCACACACTAATTTGTGCAAAGTGTTTTCTTTTCCCGCTTCGTCTACGTCATCGCACGCAACCAACAGACAAGTAATAACCACATTGCAAATATTTACACCAATAAAATTGCTGATCAGAATGGAAACTCACCGTTCAAAGTTCATCCGTCCATTCGATGCGATATGAATTTTACAAATCAAACACCTATCTAATATCGCTTATTTTGTTTACAAATTTGAAAAATGTGTGAATTATATCGAAATCAGACACAGAAAGAAATAGTTTGTAAAATATCATTAAAAACACACGTTGCGTGGTTACGGTATACGTATATATGCTAATAACTGTAGCCTTAATTTACAGCTCACTTTAACTTTCAGTTGGAAGTGACTTTTGGAAATCCGGGCTGCATCAATTATCAACCACATACAAATATAATAAATTTAACCCAGTTATAATGATTAATTAAACAGACGCGCGTCTGTTGTGTTCTCATATTTTGAAAAATATGCTAAAAATACGCTGTGAAAATGCAGATTTGTGCAGAAAAAAATTTAATGATATCATCGAAAATGTTAATGAGAGTGTTGGTTTGTTTGTTCATTCGCACTTTTCCGCACTCAAATTCTTATGCAAATTGAATTTTTGGAATTAGTCAAATAATATCTTGAGCACAATGTGTACATTGTATATACGATGGTAATTAAAATCACATGATAACTTATTTGGAAACATTTGCATTGTGTTGAAAGCTTATATTGTGTTGATACAAGATTGCTACTGAAAGTGTTAATTAATACGAACCATATAAATAGAATCCATGCGCTTCGATTGTTGCTAATTGTTTAAATACCTTAATGGGAACAATAATACATAGCAAAATAAAAAGAACAAAACATGTATCAATAAAACAAGACACAAAATGGCACATCATTATTTATATTTATTAATAAATCCATAGATTAGTCACCCTTCGTTCGGATGGATACAGCATATTTTTTACGCTCAATCTTTGACATAAAATGCAAATTACCTAAAAATAGACACTCTCATTCTTCCTTTCATTTTCAGGCGAAAATGTCAAAACTTTTATTTGATTTTGAAATTTGATACCCAGTCAACTTGTACTATACCTTTTTGTATTGCAAAACTTTCAGTCAGTCAAATAAGGAAAAAAAGATGTGATTTTCCACTGAAAAATTCGTCTCTTACTTCTCGTTTTTCAAACTTCTGAACTGAAATGTAAATTGAGGCGTTGATTTTCTGATGAAACTTGAAGATTCGACATGCTCATTTCTGTGATACATACGGGAAGAAAAAAAAGTTATTCCACAATGTTCTGATTGATTGAAGTTGTTTTACACCTGTATACCTTGCATAATAAAATAAATATTTCATTCACCTTCCGGCGGAATGTTGTATTCTTCCAGTTAATTTGCATACGTACGAATGTCCTTAGAAATTTATTGTCAATTAAACATTTTGATTTCTATCAAAAGTTTATTGTAGACGATTTATTTGATGCTGAATAAATAAAAATCGAAAATAATTGTATAAAATAGACGATCATTAAACGCATTAAAAAAAGCATTTTATTATGAAAGAGTCTTGACTTTCGTTTTTTTTCATCTTATTTCAAAACGCCCTCGAATGTTGTGAGAACGAAATCTCTCCGTTTGATTTTCAACATAGAGGGGCTTTTATATTTATCATTGATATACCGTGAATAACATCTCGAGCCATACAATATATGCTCTTATAAATGATAAACTCTACTTATGATAAAACACACATTTTCTATCAACAAGTGCACGGTTTATTGATAATAATAAAAATAGATTGTAAATGAATAAATATCGCAAGTCAATGTTATGGCTCAACTGGGCTTGAAACATTTTAAAGTTGTACTTATGACTTGTTGATGCAAATCAGATAAATTAGTATTAGTATCGAAGTTGTTTACGTGAAATTGAACGCTTTTGCGTGAGTTTATTTTATTGACGTAAATGCAGAAGAATTCAATTTTGATACTGCCGTAGAACAAACTGTGTATTAAAGTGCGACTTTCTCACCATAAACCACAAAACGGCCACCGTCATCGCTCAAATCTACTAAATTGGATAAATAAATTTGGAATAACTTTAATAAATGCGCAAAATTGTGTCTCGATACAGAAGATGTAATTTGGATTCTTTGTCGAATGAATGAATGATTAATTTTCACACGGAATGATTTGTGAGTTGTGTTCATTAAAATCAAATTCGATTTCCAGTAAATGTGGTACAATTTCCAGTCATGGCTAATTTATTTTTGATTATTTACGGAAACGGGGGAGAATGTGTAATTCAGTCGCTAACATATCGCCGTCTATTCATAACTGACGTCAATTGAGGTCTCCTTGTTTACCTAAATGGAAAAAAATGCGACCATTGAAATTGATTCGATCCAAATAAGGATCAAAATAAAATAGAAAACAGTAGCCGATCGTCGCCGTCTTCATTATACCGTTAAATTAATAAAGTTAATAGGTTGATAGGTTGATGTTGGCTAATCAAATGAGATTTAGATTACACACGCTGCTTGTTATGTATTCTTCATTTTGCAATTGTAAATTTTAACAAAATTTACACGCAGTATTGGATACCACGCCAATTCTCTAATTTCAATGTACAAACAAACTGATAACTGAAACCGAGACCATCGTAAACAAATCAAATGCACACAACTGCACATGCCACGCAACGAGATAAAATACGAGAGAATACACGAAGGCCATTCAATGTGCACTATGCATATAATTATTGTTTGCACGCGCGTATTTACAGTAGACTTACTGTGAAACTAGAGCAGACCGTCAGCAGACAGAACACACTACTAAATATAGACTTTTGCTTATCTAGACATTTTAACTTTTGCTTAACAACTAATTTGCATCAAGTGGGAAATTGCCATTCTTTTTGGTCGCCATTCGTTTCATTTTCGCTCATTCTCATTCGTTCGTTCGATTATTTTATATATGGTGTATTTTTCGATGTAAAGAGTTCCGTTTAGGCATTTTCTTGAATGTACTAGATTTTCAAGTGTTGCGAAAAATACGATATTAATTGGCACTTCGATTAGATCGTTTCATTGATAAGATCTACATTTAAAACGAACATTTGTGGAAAACGCCTTCGACAGCCGCTTAATTATTGTATTCCCTTTTCGGACGAAAATAAATCAATTTCAATATATATATAAATCAGCTGACACGGTGATGTAAGAAAAACAAAATTATAATATGCACATACATTTATCGCGGCCTGTTCGTCAACTTGTTTATCGATACAAATCGACAAAGAGCAGGTGAGTTGGTTCTCATACAACATATAGTATATTTAGTGTGTGTGTCTATATATGGAATGAGTAAACTTAAAATTATTGAAATGAAGTCATCGAGACATGTTTGTCTTCATCATCGATGACATTTGAACAACAAGAACAAAACAAAAAAAAGACACCCAACCGCGAGGTGTGATATACATTTATTTCCGTTCGAATCAGTCATTTGTCGTGTGTGAATTGATTTGTGTCGCCCAATGAAATTCATAAATTATTAATTCACTTCCGATTGGACTCTTCCAAGTCTCAACATGGCCAAACTTATCAGAAATCAGTTAATTGAACCATTAGTTGAATCACAAACAAACGAAAACATGAATCGAACCTCATCAAACAAGATTAAAATTCAACACCGAATGTCATTTCAACGGAATTTGTGTTAGACTTTCTCTTGGTCGTTTCCGAAAGAAAAGTACTAGTGAAATTGTGAGTAAACACTCATTAATCACATTTTGATGGAAATCTCTGGCGTATTTATTAAGGGAATATGACAAAAGTGTGTCGCTTTTTGCCAAACGGATATCTAATTACTTATTCATTCAGCTTCGAAATATCTTATTACTTACGTCTCATATCTATTTTCTACCTCTCTCTGTCTCTCTTCATCTATTTACAATTCAACAAATCAGTCGAAATGTTGTTTAAAATTGGTTTTTGCAAGAAAAAGCACGTGTTTGCAACAGTTTTTGTGTTTAAGTATAATCAAAACTTTGCCTCATGCATATTCACCACACTGCATCCTACTCGATTTATGACATAAACCATAACCGAAAAGCCATCATCACCATAATAATTATCATAATTTAAATCAAAAATTTGGTTAAAAAAAGGTGTGTGCCATTCACAAAATGACCATACGTGAAAACGTGGTGTGCGTAATTAAATTGATTTGGCATCCAACTTTGATTGAAATTCATTGATGCATGAAATTAATGCATACCACAAGGCGATAAAAGGAACACATACACTCTCATATTGTTTATGGATAAATGTGTAATTAACACGTATTTTGTTGTTCGTACACAAAACATAATTATCCATTAAGATTTTGGCGATTTTCAAGAAGATGAATCCATTTTGACTTTGTTTAAGCTCTCACATTTTGTTCACTTTCTATAATGGACACGAGGAACCGAAATGTGCATGTAATTGAGATTTATAAGTTCTTTGGGCGAGAAATACAAGTGAAACGAGACTGACATTAATGGTACTTACATTAGCGCATTTAGCGCTAATCTAACAGATAAGATCGTCGCCGCATTTAGTTAATTTTCACTTGTGCTTTGTACACATGCATAAATATCGATTTGTTTTAGTAAATTTCATTTCACTCGGTCGGCCAATGTGGGTTTCATTTGCTTTCTATGGATTAAATGTCAAGCGATGCTGCATCAAAGCCGTTTCACCGTGTAATGTTGTAGTGGCATTATGCGCAAAAATGTTACGTTGAAAATGTTCCATAAGTGCGTGGTTAGGTAAACATAGAACTCTTCCCATGACTTTCGAAACATAAAACATTTAATGGAACATGATGCTCACGATCGGATGATTTGAATTCTGTGTCACTTTGTTGCTTTTAACATTCAGGTTAATTAACCCGTTGGCGTTCTATTAAGGCAAAGTTTTCATCGTTTTAACCATTTTCTATGGAATTCAGTATCATTTGTCGAGCATGCATCAACCAACAAAACAATGATGGTCATTTACTAATAATTTGGTAACCACATTTTCCGAGTTTCAAACTTTACTGATTAAATTGTGACATGAAAATCTTTTGGCATTTGCTCTCTAGCATTACAGAGAGAAAGCGAAAAGTTGAGCATATCGAGTTTTGCCAGTCGCTCTCTGATTGAATTTTAATTTTGAATATGCCGTTTTTGCGAACATTAAACAAACAGACGATGGCAGGAAAGTTTAAATGGATTTTTTTGGCATCAAACTCTTCATAATTAATATGAAAAATGAGCACTCGCCAACACATAACGACCAAATTCTGATGAAGAACAAGTTGGGAGTAAAACAAACTTTCAATTACATTCCCTACATTCACACTGTTGATATTGTACATTATGGAGACAGAGTGACCTCATCTTCTCGTTGCACAGTAGTCTCGATGCTCTTGATATGATTTTGTGTACAATGATTGAATGTAATATAAATATATGATATGCCTGACGGCTATGACTTCTTGACATGATTTATGACGTATTAATGTTGCGTTTTGATTTGGATTGAGAAGACGACGATGGAATGAATGGCCTTATGTGTCTTATCTATTAACACATTCGCTTTTGGAATTTCACGCCAAATCCATTTTTTATTGATAACAAATCAATTGACGTGACACACTCTATTTCATCAACACAATATTCGATCAACTAAAGATTTTACCTACGACACGAATTATTTGCGGAAAATTTTCATTTCACTAAAACCGTTTGTGTTTGCAAATAATTTTTTTTTTCTAATCTTCAACAAAAAAAATCCCCCAAATAAATAAACATCGATTTTTTATCTTCAGTAAACAAAATTCTTTTCGGTTTGTTTCACACAATTTCAAGTTTCAATTGTCAAGAAATATGGCGTAAAAAATTCACTTAGTCATTGTTTGTGATTTAACGCGAAAATAAAAAGAACTTCAAATGACCGACCGATTCAAAATTGTTGAATAATTTGTTCAACGCGATCACGAGCTTAAATGTTAAAAGAACGACTGGTGCTCATTCGTTTTTGTTCTTGGAATCAACGCGATTGACATTTGGTATTCGATTAATAATTGTGCCAGTGTGTGAAGAGAAACGTGAAAATCAAGATTTTAAAGAACAGAGAAAGATCAAAATATAACTGAATTTGTATGGCATACGTGCCGAATATCAAGTTCCATTAAAAACATTTTTAGATGAAAAATTACGGCTCATTCTTTTGCCAACCAATTAAATTCCAATCAAACATCGCCTTGACAATGGCATATTTTACATAAAATTTGTGATTTACATTTTTATCGGGTTCAAAATCCGTCGAAAACGAGCATAGAATGACTTTTTTTATTAAATAACTCGATTTGGTCAACGTTTTTTCTTTCTCCTCTCCGCAAATAAATTCATAAAATAATCATGAGGACGATATGTTGATGAAATCAAGAAAAACCTGTTCATACAACAAAATTAAATCATATTATTAAACCGAAATTCGATTTTAATATGAAGTGACATTAAATGGGATGTTTGTAATTCTGTTTGGGTGCACAAAAACCGCCGTTAGAGGGTGAACATGTCACATGGCCGAATGATGTCACTACCCATATCCTTTCGATAAAACAAACATTGTCATTGTTGTAATGGGCAATTAAATGATAAAACGTGACCAACAACATCGGAAAATGCTTGTCCGAATGAACCAATGACAATTTTTATGGTTTACATGTTAGCAACAACCAATAAATATACCGGTGAGTCTATTTAGAATGTGTGACAAGCCGCATAATTACTTACAAATTATCAATTATTTTGTTCAAAAATTACTAAACCGTAAATTCACACGTGGTTCGGTATTCACAAGAATACACATTCGGTCACGAGAAATTTTCATTTTTTCTCAATTCATAGTTTACTTGGTCGAATGTCTGAGAAGTCGCTTCGAAGCGTATTTTTTTGTAATTTTATTTGGATTAAAGATTCACCAACAAAATTCATGTAAATGTAGACGAAAATGTCTGAAAATAATTGAATTTTTCGATTCTTCTGTTTCAAAAATAGCTTGTGTCGAATCTGTAAGCAGTAAGTGAAGTATTAAAAAACAAGTGAGAAAAGAATTGAATTTTGAATTTTTGTTCAATGCTGCGAATATTTTCTTAAAAGTCTATTCAACTCACTTTCTGTCCTTTGCGCGTTTCAAATAATCTCTTGATAACTATTTTAAAATAGCATTAAGGGCAACGGCCACGTAATACAATGCTATCTAACTTATTGCATGGACACTTGTAGAGAAAAAAAATCGTTAACTGACACTTCATTGGCATACAAATGTAAGAAAGAATATGAACTAAGTGGTGTCATAAAATGACAACTCCAATGGTGTGAGATGGCAGTGTTAAGTCAACGTCAGCATTGTATAATTATCGTCGAGGGAACCATTTCTGATTATTGATCAAATAACAGAATTAACCGAAACAGTCGACTCGCGAATGCGTCGAGAACATTCTCAATAGGCAAACGAACGGAACAAACGAAATCATCCAATTATATATTGTAGAAAATCGAAAATATGCTTACACTTAGCGTGGCCTGTCTATATTGATCCATTTTTTTCTACTTCTTTACGATTACTTTGAACTTGAAAGCCTCAATTAATCCCATTTCATGACGGAAAAATCGATATTTTCAGCAAAATAAATATTTCATTCGAACAATTATTCCCCGCTGAGATGGCATTAGGCGGTTCTCACACAGTCATTTGATTCAAATGAGCCTACTAAGCGGAGCGTTTCGAATTGAAACACAGAATGTCATACAATTTTAATCGTAAACAAAATTTAATGCGCGCGTTTTACTGTAAAAAAAATAGAGTGCCTCGTGAACATTTTCACAAATGTTTTTCACTTGTGCATTTACTTTTTTTGTTCGTAAATATAAACAGTTTATTTTGACTTTTATTCAGAAAATATAAAATAAAAACATCAAAACAATTCACTCTCTCTCTTTGTTCGGATCTATTGAATATGTTTCATTTCACTGTGAACGATGTTATTGAATTTTTCAAGTGCAATGCGAAGGATACGGAACAATTTATTACTATTGTGATATCATCGACACTTGCTGTGCTTTTCGTTTTGAAACATTTGACAACACACTTAAATGAAGACAACACATGTATATTAGCATTAGGAAGGATTGGCATATGCCTTCAATTCATATCTATTTCTTTATGATGTTATCGAATGACACATTTACGCACCACAAAAATGAAACGTATGTGCGTTCAATATATACCGGTGACTGAATGGATTTATACGCCTCCCATAAAACATAACACATCTGGTCGGTTAACCAGTTTATGTACAGCTTTCTTTTTCTTGTGTTATGGCGTTTTTCTTCTCTCTTCGAAAAATGGAAAAGTTCAATCGAAAAAATCGTAAACTTTTTCGCCAAAACAAACATTTTGTCGTAGAATTTTGTTTCTCTTCAAAATTTTCTAATAACTTATTTTGGTCGGAATTTTATCGTGAATGACCTTTTTCTTATGTGGTACGATTTTTCGAAACCTCGTTGAATTGAATTCTTCTCTTGATATAATATCCTTTTTTGTCGTATCGAAACATTTCCGAATAATACAATAATAATTCATGAGTACAGGAAAATATGTGCGTGGGATGAAGTCCTTTCGTTACTTTCGTAAAATTACACTTGATCCGCCTTTCGAAAAACATCTTTAATCTGACCGACTTTCAAGTGATGAGTTTTTTTTTCTTTGCAATGGATTAGAAATTGAGTGATGTCAATTTAGCTGGAGTTTGAGTCGGATTATAAATTGATTTTTGTTTTTAAAACATCTCTGCTCTGATGAATCACATTTTTTCGGAAGTTACTTATCAACGTTTGTAACCAGACATGTTCTTATCAAATCACTCGAGTTTTTGATGTTGAGCAAGAGACTAACAGTATATTTAACAGTTTCAGAAAACATGAGACAGTTATGAAATGAATTTGATGGACATTTTAATGACCAATCACATTTTTTATTCAATATAAACATTACATGCCAATTTCATCACAGTAAAATTGTTATCTGAGTAGAAAAAGTAATTTACTTTTTAAAAACGGCAACAAAAAATGACATACATTTTATTAGGGAGGAACCGTTACTTACAGCGAGATAACATGTAAAAGGATTCATGGCTTAAGCACTGCAATAAAGTTAACTTCAATGCACATTTTAATTTAATATGTATGTACAAAGACTATCTCGAAAAGTTTCTACTGGGTTGCGTCATGGCTTCCACTGAGCAATTAATTCTCAGATAGCCATTTCGGTAAATTTTAGTCCGGAATTATGAATCATAAAATAATGCGCCAATTGTACATTCCACGGTCAAAGAAAAAACATCGTCATTTTATTAAATCAAAGAACGTTCAGTGGTGGGGCGTGTATTCAGGATAAAAAATACAAAAATGATGTCAATTAAACGATGGAATTGAAAACAAATTGAATTAGAATTAAACATTGACAACCCACTGAAAATTCAAAACTGTTATCTGATCCGTCTGCTTCATTCTCTCTCTCTATCTGTTTCTGTGCGTTTTTTTTTTGATTGGCGTCAATTGTATCGATTTTACTCTGTGGTTCAATGAGACTCTGCTATGCCTCTGCCGTATTCCAAATATGAACAACTTCGTTCTGACTACATACGTTTTTTTCTCTCTTCACAATTTGATGTTGAGCAATAAGCTTGATTTTTGGATCATTTGTCGTCGTCGTTCTTTTTTACGACTGCACGCTTTATCGTATCAATAATCTTTGCAAGTTTTTTTTCGCCTGTTACCATCCGGAGCTTGAAAAATATGAAATTTGGTTTTACTTCGTTTCGAAAGTAATTTCAAATTGATTATGACTTCCAGAAGTGCTTGCTGTGTTTTTTTCGGCCATTTTTTGTTCGACAAACATTATTTTGGTAAAAGCATTAACGATTTTTCCATCCATTATTATTTTCAAAGTTTTATACATTCAAGTAATCACTCAAATTGATAAAGTATTATAACTGTTTAAATTTAGACTGTCAAAATGTGAGATCATCCAAACAAACAAATTTTACAAAATATTCTTTGCGAATTTCATGTTCAGCGCTTTACTTTATTAACAAATTAACGTGATGGAGGGGGATTTTTTTCCGGGCTAATTACTTTGTTGACAGATTTCATTAAAAAAGGGTTTCCTACAAATTATAATGTCAAAAATTAATATTTAAAACTCACATTTATGTCTGAATATTAGAATTTACAACAACAACAAATAAGCAAATGCCAGCAATGTTAATTGATAAGAGATCGTTGTGAAAAGAAATGAAAATTTAATCTTTTTATATTGCTTTATGTGCGATTTGGAGCGAAAGTTACCGAAAATGAAATATAATTCTAAATGAATGAAATATAGCGATTGCATCTCTATCATACCGAAATAAAAATGTGTCTAATCATTGTTTCTGGGCGTTCTTATCTAAATAGCCCAATATGGATAACACGATATATTTGTGCTGATAAAAATAAAGAAGACTAAACAAACGATGCTTCATTAGCACAATTGCTTTTTTTCCTCCGTTAAATTGACTTTTTTTATACACGCCGATGTGTGGGCTTCATTTGAGCGACGTTAGCAGTATTCATTCATCAAACAGTTGCACATCTGTGTATATGTAAAAACAATTGAAAGTAAATAATAATAAATATAAAAAAAAGTTTTGACACGAGAATAAGATATTTAAACAATGATTGTTTAGTGGCACGTGTTGTTGGTTGAAATCGAGAAATTAACGAGGAATATAAAAAGATGACTGCAAAGTATACAATAACTTTTATTCAGGTATTATGTACCATGGAAAGTGAAAAAAAAATCGACCTCATGCCGGAAACAATGTTGTAAATGAGTCCCAGTGCGGCATGAATACGTAATGAACAAA